ACTTGGTTTGGTCCTGTTGTAGTTCTGATTTAGTCCAGGTTTAGTCTCAGTTTTGATTTAGTGTGTGCCCAATTGTGAATGTATCCTTTATTATCCAAAATTTAGTTTACTACAACAGTGATAATCTACAACCTTGTTTCTTTTGATTTAGCATTCACTAGATTTATACTGTTTCATTTTATAAACTCATATATAAATTATGAAGTGTAGGCTACAATTAGTGGTTTTTCATTTTGAACACACCGTCCTCTTCTCATCTGAAAGTCTGACACAATCACATTCTTGAATTAGAAAGAACAAATTGATCTATATAATTATAGCCTATTAAAATGAATATAATGAAACAGCTGTATAAACAAGACCAACTGTGCTCTTAGCTTGACTAGACTGAATTGGCTAATGTTAAACCAGAGGCTGCTCTTGTTGTCAGTAGTAACAGGAAGCAGGATGTGTAAAGGCGAATTCTTGACAGTAAAAGCATTACAGACCGGTTTAGCCACTGGACAATCTCTTACCAGATTATTTTAATAACATTTACTGTAACTGAGAACTGGTATTTATATAAGCAAACATTCATTCATTTATTCATAGGAAATAGAAACTATAACCACTGTAGACTCTTACATGTCCAGTCTGAACAATGATACTTAAAGTTCCCATGCTACACTTTTTTCTGATCTGTTATATTGTTGTTTCCACTTCAAAAACATACCTGAATTTTGTTTTGCTTCATTCACACATGTGTAACACAAAAACTCTGCTTATTTAGGCTGAGTTCTTCTCTCAAACTGAAAACACCAACACACTAACACCTTGTGATGTCATGTGGTAATACAGGAAGTGCTCCGCTGTGTTTTTAAATGTTTTAAACATTTGAATGATTTCAGCCCTAGAATTGCCAATCTCTACTAAACTAAAGGTGGAATGAAGTATTTTGAGGTGTAAACAGACTAATAAACCAGGTTTATTCAAACATGTGTGAATAACACAAAACATACTTCTGGCTGTGTCCTTGAGGAGGTATCAGCATTAAAACATGGGTTAAAGCTCCTAAAGTGCATTTTGTGTAATATAGCACCTTTAATGTTATATTATCCATTACTTTGTGTCCAAGTCACAGCCCAAGAAAACAAAATATTCTTCCTGACTGTCACTGGCAATACAAATGGACGAGTGCACATAAATAATGTGGTCAAATGAATGAAGTTACAGTGTCTTGTGTATAAATAAACTCATAAATATTAAGAGAGGTTTTACAGCTTCTTATCAATTCGCTTCCAGTGTCTTATGCTATTACATTTGCTGTAATAATTTGAGGAACAGTTCATACTGTCTGTGGATTACAACAAGAAATTTTGACCTCTGCATTTGACCCATCCTTAATGCTGCTGAACCTGTCAGGAGCAGTGACCCATCTCCAGATCTTGAGCTAGGTTTGGTCAGGACTATTTTAGCTATGTTAAACTATGTAACCTATTGTGCATGTTTTGAGTTAATGGGGGAAACCTTAGTGCCTGGAGTCAAACCCAGAACCTTCTTACTGAGGAGAGAGAGCTGGTCACTATCCGAGGACACTTAACATGTATATATTTGTTTGGATTGTTGTTATACTTATTTGCTACAACAAACAAAATAATTCTAGTGACAAATATACATTTTGTATGACATTAAATTGCAATTGTGTGTATAGTTTTAGCTTTCAGGTTTTAACATTTGTGACTTTAAGATCTAACAACCACTCAACTACTGTGAATGAATAGGCTCCCTCTGGATTGTCCCTCTAAATAAAGTGTGCGTGACACCAGATTTGTATAAAAAGTGTGTAATCGCTCAAATCTGGATCCTCTTTCTTTTATTGGGCCAAACACAACAGGTGGTGATCTAGAATCTAGGTCAATACAACCCAGGCTTTTTTGTGGTGAGAGTTCAAGTGGGTCCAAACTGTCCAGGGTTTTTGATACAGCTCTGTGTCAAAGGGAAACATGATCCGCACTTACATAAGCAAGTGTTTTATCAAATACTGCATCACTATTGGGCGGGATAAAAGAATGACCAAAGAAAGGAATGACTTTTTCCCTATTAAGAATAAAAGAAAAAAAAAAAAAAAACTGAGTCGCCAGTCTCTACTGAACGAAAGATAAAAGGTAGCTGTTAACTTGAAAATTACCGTATCATAACATCACGAGGTGGAACAGAGCATTCTGAACTTTGGAGATCTAGACGTAATAATAAAGGCTTACACAAACATATGTGAATGAAACAAAACGCAACTCCAGGTACGTTTTTGAGAAGGTAACAACATTATAACATGGATAAAAGCTCATAAGAATCTGCATTATATATAGGATGTATAAAGCTATAGCAATTGCAACTATTCATTTAGGCCTTTTCGAAATTAGTGTTGAGAACCACAATCGTACATAACGCAGTGTCTTCCAAGCTGAGAAAATTTGTTAATAATGAATCAAAGTCCAGTTCAGCAGTTCATCGTGTTCTTTGCCCTAAATCCTCTTTCAACCCTGCACACATTTGGACAGGTCCTTTATGAAGCAGTGGTTACGTGAGCAATAATATGAGTAAATATTTAATGAACTTTAAATGTATTATGCAACGCTTGGTAACATTCTAGTGGTTTCCATTCTGTCCCAATGGGATTTCCAAGATGCTCAAAAAATAGTTTTGAAATATGGAGAAAACAAGTAAGAATTTGTGAATAAACCATGCATTTTCATCTCGATTGAATCTGTTGAAACTTTGAATTAATTTATTGGCACAGTGGTATAACCTAGAAACGTTTAATTATTATTATTTTTTTTTTTTTTTTATTAAAGCTGGTGGAGGATACGCTTGTCTCCATGGAGATGTTATTTCTTTGTCTGGAATGTTCCACTGTAGAGCAATGAACATATCTCCCTCACATTTGTTCAATTACAAGTGTTTTATAGCTAAAAATACTTTTTAAAAAAACATGAATTCTTATCATGTGCAGGCTTGCTTCTCCATAGATCTGACCATTAGCATGTCTCCACTGTGATGACCAAGTTTACTTCAATACTGTGGAATAATCAAAGCAAAATATATCTTCATGGAGACAAGCAGGTCACCAGAAAAGTTACACAGTGCACCCTTAAAAAAAACAGTTTGGTTAATTTAGGCTTTGATTCACAGGATGGGAGGAAAGAGTGGGAGGGATGGGCTAATTGTCAGAACCAGAAATTGAACAGATGCCAGGCTGGCTAATCTTCATTCCAGACTTGATTTAATCTTGCTACTTTTTGTTTCTTTTCTTTTTTTAAAAATTTTTTTTTTTATTCAAATTGCTTTTATGAGGTTGCCCATGCAGTCCTCTCACCCCCCAGACACGTCCTGAATGCGAATGAATGGAAAGCTGAACCCCTTTTTTGATTTTATATTTTTAGAGAGCACAGATCTATTTGCACACCTGATTCCTTTTACGTAACTCGAACATGTCCTTTGTCAAAATAACTTGGCTAGTAAGCTCAACAATGTCATCCTTTTCAAACCAGAAACCGGGAAAGGTGTGGCAAGGAAGAACAATGTAAAGGAAGTCAAAGTTAGTCCGGTAAATATAACCCTTGTCCACTGATTTTAAAGGTCATTGCAAAATAAGATAATAAAAAATCAATGATGCATACAGATGTAAAAAAAAACAACCTGCTCATAAAGGAAGTCTATGGTCTGACATTTTACACAATATTGTTACAACCCATGAGTGTTGCAATAACTGTGATGACTCTGAGGCTAGACTTTTTATAGTTATTTCCATACATTTTCAGTGGTAAGGTAGTAGCTATAGCATCTTAAAAATATAGGCCCTTTATCAACTATTTCCCGCTGACAATTTGGAAAACTAAATAAGAGAAATAATTTGCTTTTACAGAAATGGCATTGCCTATAAATTACACAACAACACACCCGGCTATTTAAGTCTCTTTAAGAACTAATCCAATCACTTATTTCTTCCTTGTTCCCTCTTTAAATTCAATAACGGTAAAGAATGTTATTAAAGGGCAGTCCTGTGTTGTGAAAGGGGAACTCTGGCTCTTTGATCTTTCCGAGAAATATTTCGCCAGTATCAAAACCAGTAGCAACTTTAATAGATGAATGGGGAAATTTTTTGACACACCTCTTTCAGCACACAGCAATCAGAGCCATGCCAGGATATATAAAATTTTAACTAGAGAAAAAGCCTGGAAACTACCATTTACCACAGAACAATGAAATTACTTTATTTGAATATTATCTATGTAAGTTTGTTTCTCAAATGTGTTGGCAGTATTAATATTTTTTAGCTGTACTGAAAATATAAAAGTGACTAAAATGCCTACACTATTAAATATTATATTCACACACTCTTCTATACATACAAAGAATGCTTGGTGAAATCATACTTATCCAATACCATTTATATTCATTCCATATGCTATTCTGTTCTGTTATTGTCTGGTGAATTATGTTATTGTTTTTGCAAAGCAATATTTGCATAAAAATACACCTGGATTTGTTATAATGATCATATATATTTGTAACAAAAGGTAAAATAAATAAATAAAACCGTCTTTGTTGTTGTAACATTTATTATTTCATGTTTAGCCCTTGAAAGATCAGTAACTTGTACACTGCTGCCACCTGGTGTCAGAATCCCAAGTTGACGGTACAATATATAATATTTATTTAATATTGAAAAATTAATTATAAAAGTAAATGTCACCTCCTACACACTTCTTTCCTATAATATTGTCTAAATGTTTTGATTTATAATAAGTATTATTATTAATAGACTATTGCATTATATAATTGCAGTGAGATAGAGTTAAGAATGTTATTTTCTGTCTATTTTTATATAAGCAAATATAATGGTAAAAACTATTATAAATACCCCATAATTATCGATTCAAGAAATATACCAACAATCAAAATGAAAAACGTCTTGGTACTGTCTCTTTAAGATGTGACGTCACCTCTCGCCGCCCAACCACGGCGCGTAAACTCAAGTCTGTTGTTGTTAGCCGCTACAGCTAACGACAACGAACTCCAAACTTTTACACTTAACATTTTATTTATATGTTCATGTGAATATACACCTTGGCTCCGCTTTAGTACGGACTTTTCTGTCACTGGGTTTGGACTGTGATTACTGTAAAGATGACCTCTGCTCTGGTGAGTACAATATGCAAATGGTAACAATCGTATTTACACCGTTGTTACAGATAAAACTTACATCAAGCTTTCAGAAGTGTTTTTCTCATATAACTAGGTACCTTTTTTGTTGCTTTGTCTATAATGTTTCACAGTATGGCATTAAACTTCTCTGTCTCAAGCAATGTATGCCTATTGCCAAGACTGACTGAATAAAAGCAAGATAGACAATGCCACACAACGGAACATTAAAGGCAAAGCAGTAATATTTACATGGAGGCAAGAAAGTGGTGCCACTTTAACTTGTTGTGCGGTGAAATGTCTCATTATAGTCTGATATAAACTAATACTATGAACAGAATACTTGAGGTCTGCACGTCATACACCTTTGATACACCTGTAGTCATCTTGAAAATACGGCAGATGAAAACTTACTTTTATGGGTTTTGTATTTTTTTCTGTCATTGAACTTATAGATAAGTCAAAGTGAAAACAAGTAAACCTAACTTGTTATGTCTGAGGATTGGCAATCTGAATTTTTACTCTCATCTCACTACGATTTCCTCAACCAACTATTCTCATCCCCATATGCCTACTCTTATCTACAGTTACATCAGTACACCAAGTTAGATTTAATTTCATAGTTCCACCTTTTAGAGCTGTTGTAAATCTGTGTTCTGTTAAATAAGCATTCAAATATACTTTATGCCATGACATATAGGTTATTTTACCTTGCTACTTGCTCTGGTGTACCTTTAGGAATGCATTTGCCCCTGTCTAACATGACAATGTCTAGCCACTTAACAGAATGACACAATGAATACATTCCATTTATTGATATAAAAGTAGATATGTTTTTTTTTTTTTTATTGTTCAACCTGTGCAAAATATATAACAATGTTGCTCTTACGTTGAATGTTCTACCACCCAATAAGCTGGCACTGGCACTACTATGAAAACATTTATTTTATTAATAAAGTATGCATGTATTAGAAACACTTTAAACTGTGCAAAAATATACAAGAATTATGTAATTTATATTTGCAATATCTGTGAAGAAATCCTTAGTTTTCCACTCCAAATTTGTCAAATCTGTTCGTGATGATGCCTAGCTCTAGCTCCACAGTCCCCGCGGCCTCAGTGTGCAGCCTGTATCTGTCCGCCCCGCTGTAGATCGTGTCCGGGCTGCGGAGCTGCGGACCCCCGCCGACAAACGTGTGGGCCAGCTGCTCCTGCCAAGTACCGAGCGGCCTCCAGGTCTCACACTTGACCCGGTGATGTCCGGGGCTGGAGGGGACGTGGCAATAACCGTATCCAAACAGCTGGCAACGCCCAAACGAGTCCTGATGCCACACTTGGAAGTGGATCTTCGGCCAGCCCTGTAGTCCCTTAGTCGCGAAGTGGAGATCAATGGGATGGCTCCAATACGCCATTTCACCGATCTGAGGATTGTCCACTTGGGTCTGTCCCTCCTTCAGACCGGATAAAAGTCTCCATGCACCGCCCGTATGAACTCCCCACTTACAAAACAGGCTATTCTGCGGGAAACCACTGGCGCCTACGATTTGGCCGATGATGTGGAGTTCTGCCATGTTAAAACGCACCCAAAGACCAAAGTCTTTATTCAAATCTTACCACAAGTGGATTAGCATTAGCCGCTAGCTTCTTCGCGTCTCCTTGGCAACGGGAAATCGCGTTCTTCACATTACGCCCTCGTCTTGACCATAAAAGCCGATTTTGTACCCTTTGCTGTTAAACTGGCCTTGGGAAAGATGCAAAGCGTTAGTCCGGTTGGATTTAGTTATATGAAAATTCATCCAAAATTGTCGGAGTTGAATTTGTCGATTCGTTTAGCATTAGCTTTGTTAGCCTTGCAGTTCTACGTCAGGTTTCCTAGGCAACGCAGCTCGCGTTCTTCACGTTTTTCACGTCTCATGGCAAAGTAAAGGTTGTCCTGCTATTAAAAATATGATAGCAGAACAATACTATCATTTTAACGGGTTAGGTGAAATGTTTTCCTAGCTGGGTCTTACTTGATTCAGCAGGAGGGGGGAAATGAGGGATTCCCGGTTAACAGCTGCGCATGACGTACTTCCTTTACGGCATGGCTTTCCCGTGAAAATAGACTTAATGAAATAACTTGAAAATAGTAATTGCCTCGATATTAGAGGAACACATAAAAAAAATTAATAATAATAAAATAATAATGTAAATAAATAATAATAAATAAATAATAAATAAAATACATATTTGCTATCCATTTGGCTTAAGTGAAAAATATGGCCACTTCTTCAAGGTGACCTTATAGCTTACTGTATGCATAAATAATTTCATAATAGGAATTATTTCAAATATTTTCTAACTATTACACATTTCCGTGTATTTTATAAACTAATGTCTGCAAAATCATAACTTAATTTTGTTTTCTACAGTCTGATCCCACCCTGGAGAGGCATTTTAGGGGCCACAGGGACACAGTGGCAAGTGTGGACTTCAGTGCAACTATGAAACAGATTGGTAAAGTTTCAGGTTTTTTTTTTTTCTTGTGTCAGATGTAGTGTATCTCTCTTTTTTATTTATGGACTATTACTCACAGTCTATAAATGTTTTTACTCTTCCAGCCACAGGTTCTTCTGACTCCTGTGTAATGATATGGAACATGAAGCCTCAGAGTCGAGCCTATCGTTTTGATGGACACAAAGACGCTGTAACATCAGTGCAGTTTTCTCCATCGGGACATCTTGTAGCTTCTGCTTCTCGAGATAAGAGTGTACGAATATGGGTGCCCAGCCTGTAGGTGTTCAATGATCTTTGATTAATTAACTGATTGATTAATTAACAAATGTATCTTAAGCCAAAACTCCTAAATATGAGAAAAACCTTCTACTTTGTTATTTTTTTAAATTCACTATTGTCAACACTGACAATTCAACTATGCTAATAACATTACTATAGAGTAGTAATGAACAAAGTTCAGACAATGCAAGAATTATTTCATGGCCAAGTTGACACTAAAAAAAAAAAAAAAAAATTATCAAACTATATTACTTTAGTTATAAATTAGAACTCCCAAGTTTTTAGGTGAACTGTGTAAATCTAGATAAGTGAATAAATATTGGTAAGATAAAAAATGTATTATTGCATTTAATTGAATTTATTTATTATTATCCTTCCAATTTTTGTCATGCATGCAATGTAACCCATTAAAAGCAGGACTATTACATGTTGGATTGATGTGATGTTGGACAGTAACAGAATAAATATGTTTGTATCTATGTTTTCAGGAAAGCTGAGTCAACGGTGTTCAAAGCTCACACGGCCACAGTGCGGAGTGTGAGTTTTTCTGGAGATGGACAGAATCTGGTCACAGCTTCAGATGACAAAACAGTCAAAGTTTGGACGGTGCATCGACAGAAGTTTCTTTTCTCTCTAAATCAACACATCAACTGGGTCCGCTGTGCCAGGTAGTAATATTTTATATAGTACTGATTGTCAGCTCAGTAATCACTACCGCATAATGTAGATTATTTGAGTAAAAAATTAAATATTATTAATTATTACATATTGGTACACTTTTAAAAAATAATGAAATATTTTGTAGGTTTTCTCCAGATGACCGTTTGATTGTGTCAACCAGTGATGATAAAACCATTAAGTTATGGGACAAAAACAGTAGAGAATGCATTCACTCCTTTTATGAATATGCTGGGTAAGTTAACTACAGTGGTTTAAATATGTTTTATGTTTTATAGAAATTATTGATTTGATTTCTGTGTATTTTTTGTCTCAAAGATATTCAAACCATGTAGACTTCCATCCAAGTGGCACATGTATCGCTGCTGCTAGTACTGACAACTCTGTGAAAGTCTGGGACATCAGGTCTCATAAGATGCTACAACATTATCAAGGTACGGCACTTTGAATACAGTACAAACATTAATACATATGGCATTGTGTTTAAGTCTAAGTTACATCTGCGGTATCAGACTTTAGTCTTGCAAAAGAGTAAATTTTGGTCTTCCCCTTTGCTTATATTATCAAACCAGAACCAGAACCAAACCTTTGCAGTGGCATGTTTCTGCCACCAGAGGGAACCAGAGCATTCCAAATGGTTACTCCATACTGCAACCAAACATACTCCATTATTTTAGCGTGATGATGGGTGACCGTAAATGAATAGACTCTCATCAGTGTTTCCCACTGGTTTACGTGAAACTATGGGGGTGCAGCCAATCCTTATTTGAAGTTTACATTTTTAGGGGGTTATACTGGTATATGATTTATTTCCTCTACCAAACAAAGATTAAAGTTCCTTCTAGTTCTTTTTCTTTTTTTTTTGTTAGATAATGCCATACATCTTACTTCATATATTTGATGTCTTCTGTTTGTATATCAAATTAGAAAGTACTAAACATAAAGAAAAAAATCTGAATGAGATGGTGTGTCTAAACTTTGGACTGTACTCTATTTATGATAATGTACTGCATGAGTTTTAAAAATACATTTATTGGTATTTATTGTTTTAGAATGCATTACAGGGGAAATACTATTGTCATGACAAGTTTTATTGACCATAATTATGTAAATATTTTTTGCGAGTAAACCTTTGTAGATAAATGTGTATGTTTTGTCTTCCCTAGTGCACAGTGGTGTAGTCAACAGTCTGTCGTTCCATCCAAACGGTAACTTCCTTATAACTGCGTCTAGTGACTCCACATTGAAGATCCTGGACCTGCTGGAGGGAAAACTGCTCTACACGCTTCATGGACATCAGGTAAAACAACAAACACCAAAAGTCTATACAATTTCAATATATAGTTGTGTTTTTCATTAAGAGATACAGGAGTTATTTTAAAACAAGGAATGACCATTTACTATTATTCAATCAATCAATCAATCTTTATTTATAGAGCCCTGTACAACACACAAGGTGACCAAAGTGCTTTCCATTAAAATCAGCACAGTATAAAATGCATGTAATATAAAAAGCAAAAACATTAAACAAAGAAATAAAACAAATTATGCAAAGTGTCACTGCGTTACTGAGTGTTGAAAGTTAATCTGAATACATAAGTTTTGAGCCTGGATTTAAACAGGCCAAAGAGAACAGAGAAATTATTAAAATGCTGAAATATTTGTGATGAAGCAAACTCAATATTGATATAGATAAAAACTGCCAAAAGTAGATTTCAGTAACGATGTGAGATGCGGGTCTGCCAATATAATTATCAATGGTAGCTTTAATTCATTTTAATTTATAGTTGATTTTAAATATACATGTATCATTCTCCATAAGTTCTCCATTAAGTTCCGTAAGTACATTTTAACTCCAAATGCTGGTTTTATTTTGATGCATCTAAATTGCTATTGTACTATGAAGTTTGCCTAATCATTTACCATGCGCATGCCCTCATACAAACATGTGTACTGTTGTGGCACAGTTGAGATCCAATGGCACAGCCCCAGTCAGTAGTTTTTGAACATTTTTGATATCCAAGCCTGACCTCCTGCTCCTGTGTTTCAGAGCTGTGAACTGAATGTGGGAGCGTGTTTGACATCTTCTTTCATTGTTTGAGAAGTGTGCGTGTGTGTGCGTATGTGTGTGTGTAAAGTGTGTGTAAAGTGAGCATAGACACCTCTCCGTGATGTGGTGTATTTTAGGACTTGCAGGAGAGCGGGCGGCCCACTCGCGATGACTCATCTTGGGGTTGTTGGAAGGAAACTCTGCCTCTGTTTTTTTTTTTCCTGGATCTTCTTTTTGTTCTGTCTGTGTCCAGCTTTAGTTCACTCTGTCCACATATGTCCTTGGTCTGTTCAAAAACGGATTGCATTTATTGCTTTTTTCGTTAAGTAACCCTTAATACATAAACTGACCTCTAACCTTCAAGATTCTTATACAACTTAGAATTAGAACAGTTTTATTATGTCACATTAAGCTAAAAGTTTTAGTGTTTTAGTGCTCAAAAATACCTTGAAAACCTGTATTCTCATTGTCATCGTTCCGATGAAAATTTATGTCATTACCTGCTTATCTCCATGGTGCTAAAGACCTTTATAATGTGGAATATTCTAGGTAAAGAAATAACATCACTATTGGTTCAAGTGGATGGGAAATCTCCATTAGAAAAATTACATAGAGCACTTTTAAGTGGATATGAGAACAATACAAGACATTGAACTACCCATTACAATCCTCCCAGTCTTTTCTAAGGTTACAATTTAAAGAAACACTAATTCTAAAGCCCTTATTTATTTCAGTAGAGTTATGGTTTCATGCTATAGTCCAGAGGTGCTCTTTGACTTATGTCACTTTTTCCCCCGTTTTTGTCAATACATTGCCAATGCTAATCCTCTTCTCCAAACCAGATGCTTCTATTCATGTTTTCTTAAATAACCTGTATTTTGCAAAACTGACTTTTACTTTTAGTCACTTTATAAAATTCTCTCCTCCTCAAAAACATACATGCAGTTATTTAGTTTCATTCACACATGTTTGAGTAAGCCTAGTCTACATCTCCAAAGCTCAAAATGCTCTGTCCCATCTTGTGATGTCATGAAGTGGTAGTGTTCAAGTTAAAATTTTACCTTTTGTTTAGTAGAAATTGACAATTCCATAGTTGAAATGTGAAGCACTTCCTGTATTTCCACATGACATCACAAGTTGGAACACAGTGTTTTCTGTTTGACATAAGAAATCAGACTAAATATGCAGGGTTTCTGTTTAAATGTGTGAATAAAACTAAACAAAACTCCAGGTATGATTTTAATGAGGAAACTACATTATAACATGAAAATGGAGTAATATGGGCCCATAACATTCAGACTTTGGAAGGAAGAAATTTCACTAGTTCATTTAACCCTAATCCATATTGAAAGCAATTTTTATTTGTTTAGTATTAGGCAAAACACTGAATCGTGATCAGCTGTTTTGTCATATTGCTCAGCGCTACACCAAGACATGTTTGTTTCATGGCAGCCATCTACAACATAAAAGACCCTCTTCTTTTTAAAATACACACTTCTTCCCTCCTCCTCCATTGTTTCTCCCTTTTGTATTGTTCTCACTGTGACTGTGCCAATCTGCTGTCAGGCTCGTATAGTGTTAATTGTCTCGGTGGAAACATACGTGGAGATGAGAGACCCCCATCTGCTGTGCGTGGGTCCCAGGTTCAGCTCTCCTGTAGACACTTGTATGTGCTGTGTGGAGGGCTCCTCATCTAGTTTAATTGGTCTCCTGGCTCCCATGAAAGAGCACATGCATTCTACTGTTTCATGTGGGACTTTTGGACTGTCAAAATACTAGTCATTTACTCATACTTTACTGATAAGAGATGCTCCTTACTGTAAACAACATGAGTGTCTTAATTTAAGTGCAGTTAGCTCCTCTTCAGACAAATATAACGCTGTGACTTACAGGGCTGAACTGAAGAAGCCATTTGGGTGAGTGGCGAAACATACTGACAACAACAACAACTTTCATTTTGTGATGGAACCTACCAGGACAACTAAGAGATTATACAGACAATTTACTCAGCAACATATAATTATCTATGTCAGAGTTTGAATTTGGATAAAAGATTATTTGACTATTTAAACATGTATAAAAGAAGCACCGACCCTTTTAAAAAAGCCAAGTAAAATTTTTCATTAGTTCTGCATTTGGGCTGAACACTTTTGGCAAAATATCTAATAGCATTTTTGTCTGAGAAGCGTTACAGTTGTGATTTGATGCTATTTATGTTTTAATAGTAGAATTTTAAACACGTATAGAGGCAATGGCATTTGAGAAAAGACTGAATTATGAAGTAAACTAAAAGAAGAATGAATCCCATTTTATTGCAGAGGAAATGATGTTACTGAAATACCAGCAGTCTTTGCGATGTGCTAATTACAATTTAGTTCTGATTGTGGTATATTTTGCACCCTGCTTTAGTTGAGTCTGCATACATTTCTTAGCTATGGGTTATCTTGCAGCATTTGATTACAAGATTGTAGTTTACCAGTCGTTGAACAGTCTAACTCTAAACTTGTGCAATACCAATGGAAAAAAAAACCCAAAAGACCCTCCTCTGAAATCCTTCCTCACTCCGAACATTAATTTTGAAAGTTGTAATCACGATCACCTCCAGACACTTGCATAACACTTTAGTTGTCTTTTACGGCTTCATGCGGAGAAGTAAAGTGGCCCTCCCTGTTTTTAAGTCAATTTGTCTCTCTCCTCCTCACCCTGTCGCTCTAAACTCTCCCCCTCTCTTTCTGTCCCTCTCTCCCTCCTTCTATCACCCCTTCCTTGCACCCTCAGTCTCCTACTCTCTTCTCTCTTTCCCTCTTACTCTCTCTCCTCTTCTCACCCCTATTGCTCCCTCTTTCTTCCCCCTCTTCTCATCTCTCCTGCTTCCTCTCCTCTTTTGTCTTCTCTTTCTGTACCTTCTCTCTCTTTCTTCCATTCCCTTCTCTCTTCCTCTTCTCTCCTTCTTCCTTCCCCCCTCTCTTATCCCATCCCATCCCTCTCTCACTCTCACCCCTTATCTCTTTCCTCCTTTCTCTCTCCCTCCCCCTTTCTCTTTTTCTCTCACACTCTTTCTCTCTCTTTCTCCCTCTCTCTCACACACAAACACACACATGCTCTCTCTCTCTCTCTCTCTCTCTCACTCTTTCCCCCTCCTCTTCTCGCGTCTCTCCCTCGCTCGCATTTGCAGCGGTACAGTGGCAGCAGCAGCAGGCTTTAGTCAGAGCAGAACACTCTGTCTGTCAGGCCAGCCGCTCGTTGCCATGGTGACGCTGTCTGCTGCTCTCAGGTGCTTCTGGGAAACCGCTCGGCACCAAACCAAGACCGTCTACACTGCCCTGCCAACCACTTTTATTTACCACGTTTTTATTTTTAACATTTTAGCTACGTGTGAACTCAGTTGATCTCTGGAGCTGAAGTTTGCGTTTGTTAATCCTGGTACTTTTTTTTATAACTACACTTTAATTAGATTTAATAAAACATGAAAAAAGACTCATAATGAACATCCATTAAAAATGACTCCGGCGATGTTATAATGTTTCCTCATCACAAACATACCTGCAGTTGTGTTTTGTTTCATTCACACATGTTTAACGCACAAACCCTGCACAATTATACTGCATTTTTCTCTCAAACTGAAAACATTATTGCACCTTGTGATTTCATGTGGTAATATAGGTCCTAATACAATCCCTGTATGTTTTTGATGATGTAACAACAACTCTATAAAATTGCTTAACATAAGACTTTTTATAAATGATTTATTACCATTAATCCTGATTTAAACTGAGACTCTTTTAGTACTAGACATAATAGTCACAGCACGAGAAATGCCATTATCTAGAAGCAAATTTAAAAACCACAGCAATGCACAAGATGCCAACTTTAAAGTGCACTATAGAAGCCATGTTTTTGTTTTTTGTGACTTTTTTTAAGAATGATTTGGTCTGTAGGTTTTATTGGATGGAATAGGGTAGCGTGAAATAAGGGAGAAGCGGAGGGAGGGCCATCAGGAAATTGTTGGAGTAGCAAACACAAAACGTTTAGGTTGGTATATGAGACTAGGCCACTTGATAAATGGGCAGCACAGCCTGTTGCTTTTAGAAAATATTAATTGTTATTTTTTACCTTTTTATAGTTTTTGTAGTTATTAGTGGCTATTTTATTAAAACATCTTGTCCTGTAACTTAATCCCTATTGTAACACAAGGTCAAAATATGGCTGACCATTATAGAGAGAATTTACCAAGATTTAGCTGCTCTGTGTTCATCAACCCAAACGTTGGTCCCTGTGTTTAACTGTGGATTTTTCAAACACAGAATTTCCATGTGCATGTGTCATCCTCAATACGCACAATTCACTTATTATGTTTTTGTATAATAATAACAGTTGTGTAACATTTCAATTAATAGTTCTACTTGTTTCTTCAGGGTCCTGTAACCTGTGTGGCATTCTCCAAAAATGGCGAGTACTTTGCTTCTGGAGGCAATGACGAGCAGGTGACTAAAACTGCAGTATTCTTTTCTTCATTTAAACCTGATGGATAATGGATTTGATGGGCATAATCCTTGTCATACTCTTAACTGAACTCTGTGTATGTTCTCAGCTGCTGGTGTGGAAGACAAACTTTGACGCAATTGAGTTTATGGACAGCAGGGGGCAGCAGCTCAGGAGCGGCTCTGGACCTGAAGCTCCACGTGCTCACATCACAGTCAGCTCAGAGCCACAGAGCCAGGTACTCACACAAGACACACTAGGGTTGTCCAACAAAAAGTACAACAAAATCAGATAATCAATACTAAAACTAATATAAAAACTAGGCACTCATTTTAGCAAATGGTCATGCTGCTAAAAAACACATTAAAAGGATTTGTTCTTTTCTGAACAGTTTTAGTCATTAGTCATTTTGAGCTGTATGAGTAAGATCTCATGTTAACATAAAGAAAACATTCTATTACGTTCTTATTATTAACATTTTATCACTAAAAAGGAGCATGTTTTATCTTCATTGTGATATTGTAATCAGTATCCACCTAGAAAGTGTATTGGCAGACAAAAATAAGTAATAAAAAGTAGTCAGACAACTTCATGTTATCTTCATCTACTTGCAACTTGTAAGAAAGAGCCATGTGAGTCACTGTATGACTGAGAGCTGATTGGCTGTGCATGAGTAGTCTGCATTGTTTCACTCTTTCATCTGAAAAATCTGTCCTAAAGCTGTGATGAGCCAAAGGGTTTGTGAAAGCTAGATCCATGTTAATAACTACTTCCTCTTTTCATGGTTTGAAAATCAGGTACCTCAGTTTTAAGATTATACAGTGTTTTCATTAGAGAGTTAAGGGAATGTTAAGGTTAAGGTACAGTTTATTGTCTCTGTAAGGAAATTTATCTTCGACATTTGACCCAGTATTTCACCCAGTAGTAATATCCATGATGATTTTAGTTTTTAAATGATAATTCCTTTATTTATCAAACCAGAAAATGTTAAAACTTGTCCCTAGTTTGCTCAGTTAAAGGAGCACAGAACTATAAAATATTGCAATGTCATCTGAAGCCCAGCAATTTCAAGTTTTATATCCTCCAAGAACAGCCAATCCTTCTCTCCTCCTCCAGTCGATCAATGCTTTACTCTTAAAAAAATCTTGTTTAACGTTTGCTATTTACTATGTGTCCCTTTTTCTTTTGGTTTCCAGTATGTAGGCTTTAGTCTTCACAGTTTTAGCCTTCACAGTTGTACCCACTTTCCCTGTTGCATTTTGCAGCCGCGATCGATTCAGTTTCGACAAAGTAGAATTTCGAGCCCACTGGGAGTTCCCCTTTTGGTACCCCTTCTATCTGCCAAGGACACACTATACGTTTTATCCTAATCAATGTTGATCCCGTAGTTATTGCAATATATGGCGAGATATTCTTTAAATTCTAGGTATTTGGTAAATTGTACAAATGCATGTACAAATTATTTTGGGACAGTATCTAGGGCTGCAACTAATGCTTATTTTGCTAATTAATTAATCTAGCGATTATTATTCTGATTAATTCATTAGTTGTGTAGATTACAAAAGACCAGTGAATATGAAATTTTTACTAACTTTGATCCAGCTGAAACTAAAATTACGCAGTTTAAAGCCATTCGAAAGCAGTATGGTTACAGACAAAATATTGTCTGAGAGAAAAACGTCTTCTCTTCACATTTTGTATGAAGAGAAGACAATTAGGACTGTTAGAACAAATAATGATTATTTGAATACTAAATTAATTTATCTCAAAAAATGATTTGTTTCTAGATAATTATAAGAAATAATGATCTTATTTCAGCCCTAAATGTATCCTTGATAACTTTTATTGCCTTACTAAGTAGCTCCTCTTGTACTATCCAAGAAAACATACTAGAAATAAGAATGTTTTCAGCAACTTGAATGAACTGAGACTAACCTAAAAGGCGTACAATGGTGTTGCAATTACAGATGTTGAATAATTGAAGGCTGTTGTCGGCTGCAGTGGAGTGGAGCAGAGCGTCAGATTTCAAACCCTCGACTTGTCCAGTGTTAGTTACATTTACAAGGGCACAGCCAAGGTCTTCCCAGGATCCGCTTTCACCCATTGATTTTTTTCTGTTTCAAGATCCACCCACGGCCACTTTAGATAACTCAATCACTATGGGGAAAGAGGAGAGGGCTCACAGCTAATTGTGAATATTGAATATGGTAAAATGTTGCTGTACATGGGAAAGTAAGGTCAAAATAAAGAGCAAATGACAGAAAAAAACAATACAATTAAGAGGCCTCAACTATTCAAACTACATTTAACCTGAAACAACAAAAAATATGAAAGTAAAATGATACAAATAAATGAATGTTTTGTCTGTAATAATAATTGCAAAAAAAGAATCCAAATAGATTTGAAAAAGGCAAGGCAAGTTTATTTGTATAGCACAGTTCATACACAAAGTAATTCAAAGTGCTTTACAGAATAAGAAATACATTAAAATCACAATACAAACAAATCAAAACATAAATAATCATCATAAAAGATAAAAAGAGAGAGATTAAATGAGAGAGAAGACTGCAGAATGAAAACCACAGCTAAACAGAACTGTTTTGGGTCTTGATTTGAACAGCGTCAAAGTAGAGGCCTGTCTCATATTTTCAGGACTGTCAGACTGTTCCAGGTTTTAGCTGCATGAATCTGAAACACTGACTCCCAGTGTTTAGTCCTGACTCTGGGCACCAGCAGGCCAGTCCCTGAGGTCCTCAGAGTGCGAGATGGTTCATATGGCACTAACCTGTCAGAGATGTACTGTGGTGCTTGGCCATGGAAAGACTTGTACACAAACAGAGCTGCTTTAAAGTCTATTCTCTGAGCCACAAGGGAAGTGAAAATATTCACATTTAACACTTTTCTGATGAATGATATAGGGATTTCTCAGTAAAATATTTATTGTGATATTTTGTAAATGCTAAAAAAAATGTGAATATACTACTTTTTCTTTAAAAAATGCCTTGCCAAGCCTTTGGTACTGTCATGAACCAAAGAGTTAAGATTTTAAAAGTGCTTATCGTGTAAATTGGACTGAAACAGAGCAAATAATTATTGTATATGTAGTTCCCTCTGTAAATGTTAGCTATTGTTGCACCATAACAATAAATCTAAGCAAAGACACTTGAGACACTTATTGTTACGTTCCCAGAATGATACAATTAAAATTTCAAGATGCTGATTCTGATCATTTTCGGCCTGTTTGATAATCAATAGATACATGTATTGATACATACATACATACATAGACATATTTTTATTGCAGTCTGTGGTCAAAAACAAACACAAAAACTATAAAACTCTTTAGAGAAGGAACACACCTTTACTTTTCACCATATTTTCAAAGCTGCTGTAAATTAGACTGTAGTGGCATTATTGTATTAAGTGCTCAATGTTATTTAATTACCCCTCTGGGATAAATAAAGTTTTTATAGATTGATGTATATGTTTATTAAACAAACTGAGCAACATGCACAGCTAATGGACTGAAGCTGAACCACTGAAGTGGTAAAATAATTGAAACATTACATGATTCCATAAAATATAGGTTAAGTAACTGTTAATTCGTTCTCCAAATTACATATATATATTTTTTACCACCCTTGAAAGTTAAGTGCCACTATTATTAGCCTGGAGTATAAAGCGTTTGGTCTGCCTTAAACAGCTGCTAATGCCTCAGACGGACACTTAGAGCTGTTTTTCTGATTCTCTGATAAGGCGCCATTATTCCCTCCCACAGCCCTGAAACCATGTTGTAAATAGATTTTAATAGCCTCTCCACTCAACAGGCGCTATCCCAGACACGCTTAAAGGCCTAATTAGAAAATGGGCAGCCAAACCATGCATAGAGATGATTTCTTTCAAAAATCTCTTAGTTAAAACCAGCTTTTTCAGTTTCAGTTCCAGTACCAGTATCTGCTACTACCTGATAGTAACTGATACTGGGTGCTTTCCTTAAAGAGGGGGTATTGTGCAAAATTGACCTTCTGGAGCTTTTAATCATGTTGTAAAGAGCACCTATCATTACATATCTCATCATTTGTCACACACAGTTTAGTGTTTTGTTATTTGATTCTATAGAAATCTGCAATATTTTTCAGTCTTTTTTGATATTCTTGTGATTTTATTTTTTCCTCATAAGCAGCCATATTTGTGTTGATATGACCATGTGTGTTCCTAACTGGCCAATCACATCCATCTGAACTCAGGGAGATGCACCAGATTGACCAGACTCACATCTTTATAAAGTATTGCAGAAGTGTGTATTCTGGATCCCGGGCAACCATGAATAAGTGAATATACTGCACATCTCAAATAGAAATAGACCTAGTTTGTTTCTTTACAAGCCCCTTAAGGCTGGTGCCAGTATTTGTTGAGTCACAGTTAATTTCCAATAAGTGTGGATAGTGACCTGAATACTTACTGCGACAGGTCATTTAGTTTCTTCCTGTATTAAATTAAATCAAAATCTGACTTTATCCCAAAAACATAACCTTAACCTCAGCAAATCACCCAATCACAGTGCACTTTTGCTTTTCCATCAAAAACAGGCAGCAGTTGTTTAATCTTTTCACCTTTGCCGTTTCGTGGAAGTCAGTTTGCAGCTTACAACCGTTTCCACAATATTTTTTTTATTCAAGAACTTCCCATTTAGTGATTTTAGTTTGTATCTCATCAAAATGACTGAAAAGCAAAGCTAATCAAATGTGCATGCGGTGTCTTTGATTTCTCTCTTTGGGCTGTATTAAATGGTCTTTTTAACTGCCAAATGTTTTTAGTCATTTAGTTAAAAGAAATCATTATTTAAACTTCTGGTTCCATGGAGATGTTACTGCTTTACTTAAAAATTCAATGCTATACTGTGGAACATTCTATCTCTGTAGAAACGACAGCAACATCAGATCTGTGGAGATGCGATCAGGCTCAACTAAGAATTAATGCTTTTTCAAAATGTTTTAAAAACATTAACATTGATAATTAAATGATTGCAAGATATATTAATGTTGTGTTTGATGCCAAACCGTGGAACATTCCTGATAAAACAATAATCTCAATCTCAACACAAATGTGATGGAGCCTGCTACCCCAACTCAGCATGAAAAGTAGTACTATTTGTAGTGTACCTTTAACCAGAAATGTTAATAATACTGTACTCTATATTGTTGTTATTTTATCATATAGAATTCTGGTCAACTTTAT